GAGCTCCAGAAGGGAATATGATTAAGGCCAGGCAGGGGTGCCACGCTCACCAAAATCTTTGGAGCAGGGAGCTTAGTAGCACAGGCAGACTCCTCAGGAGCTAGAAGTGCAGTTGAAAATGAGTGCTAGATTACCCATGTCAGCAGGCTTTCCAAAGGAGGCCAACGAGTGCCAGGCTCCAAAACAAGGTCCTAAACCAGCAGGGTACAGCAGTTGTCTACATTAACTATTTGGGATAGGAGGAAGGGTGTCTTCCAGTTCTTAGATAGTTTGTGCAAAATAACACATTTTGAATCCACAACAATACATGTAGTTTTCTAGAGTCTAGCAAGAGGAATTAACACTTGAAGTGTCTCATTCCAGATGAAGCAATCTGGGGTCTCATTATACCCAGACAGCATGCCCCTTTCCCTCTCTTCTGCTAGCCATGCATCCTCAAGCAATATGCAGAATGAGAAAGGTTCTTGCACTCCTCCCTCCTCAGAACATCTGAGAAGTGACTTTTCCTGTTTGCAAGCTTCTTCATAGCAGGAGCCCATGAATTTCAATTTGTTTTATATGGATCAGAAGAGAGAAATGAAATCAAGAATTCAAAAAAATAAAGTTACATTTGCTTTACTGTATTTTCTGTTTGTGAAAAGAATATCTTCCTTCACTCACCCTTGCTGTTCCTTGTTCCTGCTGTTTCTGGTCTTTTCTTACCCCAATAGGAAGGGAAGGAAATAGACTATCATCAGGAAAACTGAAAGGAAAACGCCTCTGTAGAATGTACATGCCACCAGGAAGCATGAGGTTTAGCCCAGGGGGCTCACAACATAAAAGAAACTTCCAGACCACGCGTTGGCATCAAGATGGGTGGCGTGCCCACTGCAGGTGGGTGAATGACTGGCACTGAGTACAACTCCCTACATTTCTGACCTCTCCACTGCTTTGTCTAGAACGTATGAATCTAACCACGCAGTTTCCAGTGACTGCTATTCCCCAAAATCTAGAAGAAAAATATTGGGCTTTTTAATGCACCAAGGGTCAAAGAAAGAGAACCGAAGTTGTAAAGCCCTGACACACAACTACTTTTTAAAAAGTCAATTTCCTTAGCAAAACAAGCTCCTAGGAAAAAAAAATAAAAAAATCTACAACAGGTATTTAAAATAACCTACTGGGAAATCCAGTAGCATATTGTCTCATTGCATGTTTATCAGATCTTCCCATTGACTTAAATGGGAACACCCTGCTTTTACACATAAAAGATTATGCAGGCATAGAATATTGGTTCAAAATAAAGGGAGACAATCTCAAAACACAGAAGAAATACGTGGACAAGGGCAAATTGGGTACTGAGAAAAACTTTACATATGTCGAGGCAAAGAGGTGTCTTTTTTCAAAACCAAAAAGCACTGAACTGAAATTAACAGAACAAAGAATGTAGTTACAAAGTAGTATTTAAAACTGAGATTAGAAGCAGAAGGACTGAACCAAAGAATCAAAGACATAAGGACAATTTATTGACATATGTTAGATGCAAGAAAACTGCAGAACAGTTGTCTGGCAGGTTTGCAATAATACTGGGGAAAAAAGGGAGTGAATGAAGAGGAGGAAAAACTGCAAAAAAGATAATGGCTGATTACGACCTTGAGATCTTTAGTCACACAAAAGAGTGAACTCAACTTTCCATATATGTGGCCATATGGCCATATTAACATTTCTTGACAGCTGAGTTCCTGATGAGACCTATATTAAGAAACAAACAAACAAACATCTCTACAACTACTAACCCTCCTGAAGAAATGCAAGACTGTACACCTCCTTCTTACTCTGCAAGTCCTTCATTCTCCAGGTTTTTTCTTTCTTTCACAGCAGCCTTCTGCAATATCTAAATCCAAAATGGGAAGTAAAACCACACTACAAGAAGTTATGGAATAAAACATTCCTTCTCTGGAACAGGAAAACAGTTGGAGGAAATGTGACTCTGTGACACAAAGTTCTTGCACGTATCAATTTTTCTGGGTGCAAAAATACTGTCCATTCTTCTCCCAATGGCTAGAAATCCAGACAGACCCACAGGCAGCCTTCAGCTTAGAAAGAACAGCTTCTTTTTAGGCCTACAGCAGGCAGAAACCATTGAAGAAGGTTTGTCCTAACAAAGTGATTAAATTGCATTTTTGGAACCCTTCAGATTACATCTTGTTAATCTCTTCTTCTGCAAGTAAAGGATGAGAGAGCAGCAGATAACAAAATAGAAAGTGCAGAAATAACTGGATAAACCACAAGACAAGACAGGCTGCTCAAGGTTGAAATCAGCATTCCCAACCAAAAAAAAAAAAAAAAAAAAAGTATTCTTCTATCTGGAGTGAAAGAGTAGTGCTCCTTAAATAGCCACAGAAATAATTCACATTACATGCCAATGAATTCTAGCATTTAATAAAATGGTTGGAAGGCTACTTGAAAAGATGTTAACCTGAACGTCTAAGAAGAGATTACAGAATGGAGAGAAAAACTACACAGCTAACATAATGAAAAATATGTCTTTTTTTTTTTTTTTATGTTGGAGTGGCTCTGCAGATGCAATTATTATTTATGTGGCCATTCAAAAAGGCTTTGATAATGACTCAAAGATCATAAAGAAAACAGAGCAATTGTGACTGAAATTTAGACCAATGGTTAAAAATGAGCTAAGTAGCCCAAAGCAAAATGCAGGAATAAAAAAGACACTTAAGAAGAAAAAGGTTAACAGTAATTGCATGCAGAAGTTACACTTGCATCAGATTTCAACATTATTTAGTAGCATCAGAAAATCATCTGTAAAACAAAGTGGCAAAATTGACACTTGGAGTGTATTTGGGTTACTGAAGAAATTTAACAAAGTTAAACAACTATGAAACAACATGATAAATACTTTTTGGTAATTATTAAGTAAGTTTCATTGCAACATTCTCAGCAAAGGAAAAAAGATCTGGGTGCCCTCACAACAATTCAAAAGCACTGTCAAGAAAAAAGAAAACAATTTTAACAGTGCATGCAAAAAAGCACAGAAACTCTGCTTTCAGCGTGTACCTGACAGAGAAACACCTTCAAGAAGAATGCTGTCTACAGCTCTTTTTACCTTACTTCATTAAAACTACAGAATATGAGGGTAATGGCAGGTGACTAAAATGATCTGGCTCTCGAGACGACTGCCACGTAACATGACAAAGCGATGATGTTATCAAGCACACGAGCAACAGGGAACACGACAGAGATGCACACTTTGAAAGTCAGAGTTGAACGTTTTTACTTACAGTGTTGAACAGGAGACCATGCAGTAAAATTAAATGAGCAGCATTAGAGCTATGGGAATGTATTATCTCACTAACTGCAGGCTAAGCATGTGAAAATCGGTGCCGCAGTTCTTCATTAAGGGACATCCGTGAGACCATGAGAGAATACTGTTCTATGCACAGCCTCTAAAAACATAGTGTTAAATAGGATTGCTTGCTGGAAACACCCTTGCACAAATCAGTAATAAAGCCACTGGCCAAGGTATCTGGCTGGCCCATTTTCTGAAAAGGACAGGATATTCTGGAAGGATCAAATGCTGGAATTTTTTGCCCTGCCTTTTCTTACCAACCAACCCTTTGTAAGAATGGTCTGAGTAGACTCAGCATTAATTAGACTGCAGATCTAATCCAGTGTGGTGATTTCTACAGTTAAATGTTTGTGATGGTTAAAAACAATGATCCCTGAAGCCTCTTCCCACCTCCACCTCCCCCCAACAAAATAAAAAGGTACAGTGTAGTAAAAATGAAACAATTTATCCTCTAAGTTAGCCGCTATGCCTGATGCAATGCTACCAATGCATTTCTCAAACTTCTCAAAAGTACTTGGAAGCACATTTTTTTTTCTTACCTACTTTTCCTCTCGCTCTAAATAATTAGGAAGAACGTATAAGATTATAAGATTCTGCTTCACAATACAAGCGTGTTTCCTTATTTTATTATCTTTTCTCCCCATCCACACATCATTATTTGTAAAGCCCATTTAATAATTCTAAGAGATTCCAAGATGTGTGTCAGATGCTGGGATATTGCCACTTGTGTGGTGGTTCGCTACACTTAGCCTTCAGTCTTGTGGCTAACAATTCACCCAAAATGTGATAATACCTCACCACAACCCACACCCTGCTGCTCTTCAAAGGAGAACAAGGATGCATAATTGCGAGATGATGAGCTCAAATATAAGACAGGAGATGAGGGAACAGATTCTGTAACCACACCTGTGAGTGGTTAAACTACTGAGGAAGTTTCTGCAGCTCCACTTTCACTCACAGCATCAACACAAGCCATACATTTTCAAAATACTAGAATAGCATTCACTACAGTGGAGGAATAAATACAGTGCTAATACCTTGCCCCTGCAGAAGAAAAGAGGTTTAACGTATATTAAGAATGTAAATAAGCATTATTAGCAAATAGACCTTGTAGTCAACGTGAGCAAGATATACACACTTTTACTAGAAATACTGTCAAGATCTCATTCCTCAAGAATTTTTACTTTAAAATAGTCTAAGTTTCATTCCAACCTTTTGTGATCACGTAGTTTCACTCATAACATAAGGAACTACAGAAGAAAAGATCTGTGCATCCATGTCAGTTCTGTGACTGACACTGAAACATTTTGCACAGAAATTAAGAACTGGTTACAGATACACTTTAGAGTCTACAAGATGTGTCCCGTGGTGGCTATTCTCAATAAAGAAAACATCAAAGCCCTTTTCTTACTAGACTAAAAATGTTGCAACTAGTTTTTGTGGGTTCTGTCATGATTAGTGAGTTAAGAAATCTGGGGCAAAAGAAGAAGCAATTAAAGACGCCATCAAACTCAACGACTGTGAGAACTGACCATCCTTTCAAAATATGCATTAATATGAGATTAATGAGTAAGGATTTAAAAATAACAGGATTACATGCCTATGTGATTTCTCATTATTAAAAAAATACATGAAGAAATAAAGAAATCTCTTTTACCTAAGAGAAGTCTTCCTTCTGCGAGGTTGAAGGATCACAACCCCAAAGCCAGTCCCTGCCTGCACAGCCAAATTCTCTGCAGCCACACCCTCCTCTTCCTCATTTTTTTCCACTGACCACGAAATGCATTCTAAGCCAGGCACTGAAAAAAAAATTTAAAAAAAAGATCATAAGTACATTTTTAATGGACACCAGATACCACATGGCTGATTTAATTAAGCAGATTAGAAACAAATAAGTATATTTATACAAATATATTTTTATTTTCTGTTTCATTTCAAACAAATTTGGCAGGCCTGATTTGGCTCTATTCAAATCACAAGAAACGTCATTAAGAATGTTCTGTACTGACAGTAGAATCAAGCCCTCTTGTTCTTTTTAGAATGTAGTATTTTACCTATTCCATTGCTACCGTAAAAACAACATACGAGAGGCTTTTCAGAATATCCTGGAATAAACCTATGGACTCTGTAATAGAAACCAAAACAAGACAACCTTTGACAGATGTTCCGGAGGATCTCTCTTCAATGAATTGGATCAGTGTATCTTCAGCAGAATGGTACTGCAATATCACTCAACACGTACTCACTGTTGTTACACTTGACACAATTTATGTCATGAATAATTTCACATTGCATAGAACATTATAGAAATTGATTGTTGTTATAAACAGTTTTGCACACTGTATCATCTGCTGGCTTTAATTCATTATTTAAAAGACACTAATTACACTACATTTCATATTCTATACAACCATAGAATATTGAATAGAAATACAGAGTGATAAAAATACTTTTTTCCAGTATGTCAAAAAACAAAACACCCAAAACAAGCCATCACTCCGAGAGAAAAGAAGAGAGAAAAAAAGAGAGAAAAAAAGAGAGAAAAAAAGAAAACTCAGCAACACACTTCTTTTCAAATAACTAGCTAAAGGATTAAACAAGAAAGCAAAAATACGTATGTAGGGGTAAGCAACTTAATCTCAGTTTTTGCAGCAACTGCACAAAGGTAGTATTATTCAGCTTTCATAAGGACAGGGAAATTAACATTAAAATTACTTGGTTTTTTTTTTTTTTTTTTTTCCTTTGTTTTTTGTTTGTTTGTTTTCTTAATATAGAACTAAATAATGTGACCAAAATCTGTAGCTCAATGCTATTATATTTCTTGAAAGAGCAAGTTGATATAAAAATAAGAATGTTAAGATTATATTAAGATGAGTGCCCGAGGATAGTGACATTTTAGGTATTATAGTTATTATATAATGCCAAGTCCAAAATAATTTATAATCCCACCACTTCTTATTTATTCATACGACTCCATCATCACAGAAAAATGCTCTTATGAACGTGTTGTGCACTTTCAGTATTAGAAGGGCTGTTCACAAGGGCATTGTGCATGCTCCTACATCCTAACGTTGCCTATAAACAGCTTTATAAATCTCAAAGCCTGCACAATCAAGGTTAGATACAGTACACTCGCTATATATACGTTTGCACATACAGTAAAATAGAACTACCTTGCAGAATCATATCAACACCACTGTATTCATAGACATGTTTATTCATGCAGAAATCTTTTTGCTCTAAACTGCAGAATATGAAGCATACCTCACTATAATGGAACACTCTGGTACATAACACTGACTTTTAAACACAAATATGATGATGACAGCACTACCATGCCATTATTTTACCTTCCTGTAACAGTCACCACCTGCTAGGCCCTCCCACTCATACAATCTGTGTCAGAAAAGCACACTCACTCTAGACTTCCTGCAATTGCATCTACAAAGGTGCTCTATAAGAAAGGGAGCAAGCAGAAATCCAAGAGTTAACAGGAAAGAAAAAAAAAAAACAGCAAAAAATCAGAAAACACAACATAACCAAAATCCCCAGTCATAATGAAGGCCTTGCAGGAAAAATAAAATCTCCAGCAGATAAGAGCCTAACAGAAAACAAACAGATAATTGAGAGACCCAGCAGTGCCTGATACAATCTTGAGATTTAGGCAACCCTCGATTACAAGGACTATTCCATTGAAAACCCAGCCTATGATTCCTATACTGTTTTCTACCAATAACACATCTGAACTGTGACTAAACACCTCATTATGCTTCTCTGGCACTGTCTGAAGCAAATGTATTGTACAATTTTATGCAGCACCTAAAAGCAGAGATAAAAAGAAGCTGTTTTCCTTACAGACAGCACAGGCTTGCAGGATGACTGAATACCTTCCTTCCCCTGAATGCTTTTCTGCACTAGGCAACAGGTGGTAAAATGTAGCTCTCAATCTCCCATTTTAAAGTAAGAAAATTTACCTTATCTATAAGACATCGACAGTATATATATTTTTGTTTGTTTTTTAATAATTAAAATTGAGAGAAGAGGTTTAACTGGGCCCTTATGTTGGTTTCACAACTTAACTGCCTTTCTCAAACGCTCATTTGCAGATAATAGACATTTCATTTAAAGAAAATCCAGCCCTCCCAGTTACAAATAATAACCAGCGACTTTAGGTAACAAGACAGTACAGACAGAACTTATAAGAGAAAAAGCAAACTCTTAAAGCATTTTCAAAGGAACTGTATGTCTAAAATACTTCACTACAACCTCTTTCTCCGTTTACTTGCTAATTGATCTTAAATACACAGATGAATTATGAGGCAATAACCTCCAATTTTCTTAGTCTTACTCCAAACAAACATTACATTCTGATTTATTAATATTTGAAATATTTAATTTGCTGCTTATGGCACTTAAATAGTTAATCTAATTTACGAAAAGAATACCACATTAAAGATTCCTGCTATTTTCTTCTTTAAGCCTCACCACTTCAAAAACATTTTTTCCATCCATTATTATTTCGAAGCGGTCTTCCCCTGTGAGCTGGACATACTAACATAGTTCACGAGGCCATGTTGGCAGCCCGGTTTCTTCTCCAGTCTCCACGTTATTCATTAGGTAATTTTGCTCCGATACGTACACAAGCAGCCGGTCAAGTGCAAGAGATGACTCTCCACATGCAGTTATGTCTCGCACACTTCAGTCAAAAGCCCTTAGAAACTGAGTATTTTGTAGCCTCCTGTCTCTGGCTGTTTCTGGAGCCTTAATAGTGCTTACATGGACAGCATTTCGGCAGTGCTGGCACCCTGTCCTCAGCAGTACACCTGTGCCCCTTTTAGAACCCCCCCCCCCCCCGCCCTCTGGCAGCACGTTAAGGATGGAAAATGCTTCGATTTTGGTAAAACCTATTTCTCAATTCGCAATTAAAAGGAATCTGGCTTTAAGGGTGCTGTTTCATGAAATATTTAAACGCTTAAATGCAGTTTTGCAATTTGAAAGCTCTGCAGGTCTTCCCTCTGCGAAAACACAGATCTGTAGAACCACTGTGGAGTACCTGGTGCAGCAGATGGTTAAAATTCTGCATCATTTTTAATAGCCCTAAGAGCTAGCGCTGCCTTTTTTCCGTCCGGGAGGCGGGGGGGGGGGGGGTGGGGGTGGAGGAGAGAAAAAAAGCTGAGGACAGCAATTTGCAGACTTTTTTTTATCCTTGACAGCAGCTAGCCACGCCTCGGTCTGGCCCTTCCTCCAACCTCGGCTAACCTAAAAACCAGCGCCAGGCTGGCAGCGGGCCACATATTCAAAAGTAAACATTGTTCTCCTGCCATTTTTCAGCGTTGTTTATCGCAGCCTCGATCTTCCCGCCTTCCTTCCTCGCTGAAGCTCAGATCCCCGTCCTCGCCCCGGTTTGTTTCGCTCTACAGCCGCTCCGAGCTCTCAAAGCCACACAGTTACCCGGCACGGCGACTCCCAGCACGCACGGCGCCGGCTGCCGCGGAGCAGCAGCCCGTTCAATTGGGAAAACGGAATCGGGCACATCTCTCAGTGCCGCAGTCCCACAGAACGAGGCGGCACGTTCTCGCTCTGGCACAACGCGTGCCCCCTGCTAAAGCTGTAGCTGCCATTACAGCGCGGCTTTTGCTTTCAAAGCGTTTTTTATGTCCTTATTTGACGGCACCGGGGCTGCAGGAAGAACAGAGCGGCGCGCACACACGGCTGGCGAGCTGCACCTGACCGCCTGCCCGCGCCCCGGCTGCTCTAAACAACTCCGCACCGACACGACGAGCTGCCGAGCGCTGGGATTTTATTTCGTTTTCACGTAACCATTCGCTCCATCAAATGGACAGCCAGGAGACCGAGAGGAAAACTGACAGAAAAAAGGGCTCAACATACAAATAAACACAGCGAGAGGGCGGGCGGCAGGCCCCGGCGCGGCCCCTGCGTCACCTGGTGCCGGCAGCGCGCCCCGCGGCGGCCATGTTGCGCGCTCACGGGCAGCCCGCCGCGGAGCCGTGCCAGTCCAAGGGGAAGCCTACTGCCAGGCCTCTCATTTGTGCTCCCCAGCTCCGCGAAGGGGCGGTCTGCTCGCCGCAGGTGGGCGGCAGGTAACGGTGGGGCCGGGAAGGGCGCGGAGCCGCCGGCGAGCTCGTGAATAATTGCGAGCAGCTCGTTCGCCATTTCCATATTTAAATCGCGGAGCGGCGGGTGATTAATTAAGAAGACCAAAAAGAAAAAAAAAAAAGCCGGCTGCCCGCGTTAACTCCTGCCTCCCCACCGGCGGCCCCCCCGCAGTCCGCCAGCGCTCGGCGTGAATGCTAATTGCCGCCGACCGGTCACGTGGGGCTGTGCGCGGATCCGCGCAGCCACCCAGTACGGCAGCGGCTTTGCGTGGGGGGGGGGGGAACCGCCATCGTCGGCCTTAGCGTGGCTGCAGGCTGATGTATTTTCACGTAGTGAGGTTAAAGGAAGGCTTAAGGGTTTACGAAGTTATCTGCATAAAGAAATATTGTAATTGAGATCCAGTACGATGTGTAATTGGAGTTCTTCCGAGCGCTGCAAAGAAGGGAATTACTTCGGATTCGAACGCTGCGATTGACGTTGCAGCTGCTGGGAAGCTCGGGCAGGAAGGAAGACGCGGGAGCACTGCGCAGTGCGCAGCAGTCAGAACGCTTGACGGCTTAACAGCTCGACTCCTCACGGCTCTCGCGCTCCCGGCACGCAGCGCGCAGCCCAGCGGTACCGCACGCCGCCCGGCCCTGGCCGGTGGGCACGCTGCGCTTTTGGCGGCCGCGCTCCACGCTCGAAGAACCCACGTCAGCCTGCTGCTGCTACCAGGGTGCTGGCGCCCTCCCTGTACTCCTGCCTCTCCGAGGTGTGCTGTGCTTCCTTTGCCAAGCAGATGCGCGTGCACTAAGCTAAAGCTGTCGTGCTTTGATCAAACCAAGCGTGTTATATTGCAACTTACTAAAAAAACTCCCCCCTCCCTTCCATCCTCTCTGCCCCAAATGATGAGTTCTGGATGTTCATAGCATCATAGAATGGCTTGGATTGGAAGGGGCCTTAAAGATCTTGTTCCAATCTCCTGCTGTGGGCAGGGCTGCCAGCCATTAGATCACGCTGCCCAGGGCCCCACGCAACCTGGCCTTGAATGCTTCCAACGATGGGGCATCCACAGTTTCTCTGGACAGCCTGTGCCAGTGCCTCTGAATAAAAAACTTCCTCATAATTTCTAACTTAAATTTCCTCTCTTTTAGTTTTAAACTATTCCCCCTTGTCGTGTTCTTACCGGGCCATGTAAAAAGATGCTCTCACTCCTGTTTCTAAGCTCCCCTCAAGTACTGGAAGGCCTCAATGAAGTCTTCCCAGATCCTCCTCCAGACTGAACAAGCCCAGCTCCCTCAACTTTTCTTCATAGGAGAGGTGCTCCAGCCCTCTGATCATCTTTGTGGCCCTCCTATGGACCTGCTGCAACAGCTCCGCATCTTTCTTGTGCTGGGGAGGCTCCAGCTAGCTGCATCCATCCAGATGTGTGCTAGGCCAGTTATGCTGATCTCCTTGGGGTGGTTAGCACATTTGTGCCCACAATCTGTGATCCCCTTGGGATTGCTCAGTATGTTAATAAATGTCCTAAGCAGGGATGGAAAGAAGAGATGAAACATTGTCAGGCACCGTTTTTTGGACCCTGATATCATCCACCGGCACATCTTCCAGTCCCTCAGTCCACTGGGCAGCATTTGATAATGACTGCAATGGCAGAAACTGGGGAGCTGAAGCACTGTTGCTCTGATCAGTGAGGACCAAGTTCAGTCTCTCCTTCCCATAACCAGCTTTCTGAGGCAGTGTTTACTGTGTGTCATCTTTTCTTCTGCCTTGGCTATATAAAGGCCCTTTGGGCAACTCACCAAAATCTCTGTAACTATCACCACCCAGAAAATTTTCCTTGCCTTAACATGTCAGAATAAAGGACATTCTCATACGCAATGTGGAAAGTAACTTGCTATATATATGAAATGAAAAACAAATGTTTTGCTTTTGTATTCAGTATTGAAAATTAAACAAAAGGCATACTGAAAAATCATAGCCCAAAAAGGCAGGCCCAACCTACTTAAATATGTATTTGTTTTTAGAGGCTACATAATATTCTGGAGGATTTCATAGCTAAAAAAAATGTTAATAAACACTTCGTTAAAAATGAGTAAGAAGCTTGCTGTTCTCTCCTATGAAGGTTGTGAAATGCAGTCACAGTAGCAAATACCAGACATTTTATTAAAAAGAGGTTAAAGCCGCATGCATATGAATGTTGCTCATTATCAGCGTTGCTGTTTATTCCTTGCCTTTTTTCTCATGTAAAGTAGCATGACGCTGTCAGAGCTAGTGCTGCCCAAGCAGCCAAACAAACCTGGATAAAAATATCACTACGTCTTTACTCTCTGGTTTCTAATGTAATTCCTAGAACATGTAAAAATACTTTAAAAAATAATTTAAGCTATGTTGCTGGTATTAAATCTGAAAAAAATCAGTGATAGTTCTAGTATATTTTCTTGCATTTCTTACGAACGTTCAATTAATTACAGACGTCCCGATATTCTGAAGGTTATGTTAACTGGCTAGTGATTGCAAACATACCATGCTCACTTAAAATGATCTTTCTATGCTTTGTAGCTCAAAGTACTGTGAAGAAGCTGCACTTCTGTATTTAGCTGAATTTTAATGGAAAAAAGACTCCATTAAAAACCTTAACTGCATTATTAAATGATCCAAAAATATAGGTGGGGCTGGCACAACTGCCAACTGTTAGGATTGCCAGATACCTCCTGTTATAAGACTGTGTTTTCAATTGCTTGTAAACTTTGCCAAACATAAACTGTTTGGCTGAAAATTTCTATCACCAGGTGTGTGCCTCAGGGGTAACTTGTCTGCAAATATCTAAGCCCAGTGGCTTAGACCTTTCCAAGCACAAGCCATGGAAGCGCCAGTCTCTCGGTCCACATTGCGAATCACAGAAACCTTTTCTCTGCTTCCTTGTGCTTGGCACAGAGATGAGGAAGGGAGGGAGCCTGGTAGGAAGTGCCTTTTGCCACTTCATTTCAGTCAGGTTATAAACGTTTGGAAATGCCAGTTCACATACACTTGCTAGAGACTTGCTGAAATTAAAGAGGAAAAATTCCCAAAGATTCCACCTGCACTGAACACATTGCTTCCTCTTGCAATGAAACTGAGCTTCTTGGCCAGCGGAGCAGATGGGAGAAGGCAGAAAGGTGCCAACAGACAGAGTGCTGAGAAGCCAGGACATGGAATCGCCAACATCTGCATTGCTCCTCTATAGGGGTGCTTTAAATAGAGAATTATCTCCTTATTGTCACCAGCTTGAGGAGCAGGGCGCAGTGGGATGGCTCAGGATATTCCACTCCTTCTGGTGACTCATTTGGATGTTAGCAGACTGCTACAAGATATAATCTCTGTTTATGCAATTTGCTCTTCATCCCCCCCTAACTTGCAAAAAATTACCTGTGCTAACATGTGCGTTCACAAAAACGTGTGCATGCATACATGTGTTAAAATTGATTAAAACAAGGGTTAATCTTGTTCAAACAGGATTAAAGGGTGCAGAACCTAACTGAAAAAGTAGGAATAAAATCAACTGTCTGGAGACACTTCTTGCACACTGTCTTTGTGCGACACAATCCTCAGTCTCAAGCCTGTATTATACCTTTTCTGTTGAGTCCTTGCTTTTGTGAAACAAGACAATGTCAGCATTAGCAGCTCTTCAGTAT